GCCTGAAACTCTCAGACTGAAGAAGTCTCTTGGAGGAGAGACGAAACGCTTCATTAGAGAAGAACCCGTCCAGAAGACCTATACAATTTTTTTCTTTTTAAATATCTTGTTTATTCAGTAGGTTATAGGTTGAAAAGGGTTTGCAAAGCATTGTATAACGTCCCAACTTTATTGGAATTGATGTTGTAAAACTGTCAGTGATGCATCTCAGTGATTAGATTTATAAATAAACCCCGGTGGGGCAGCTGGTAAGGTTTTTTTTTTCTTTAACATTTAAAACGGCATGAAGAAATATTCCTTTTTAAAAATATGTCTGACTGATTAGAAGCTCCTCCATTAATCTTGTATTTAAAAAATAATRTTCTCAGCAGACCTCAGTCAACCTCTTCTACTCTTTATTTTTTGTCTCTCAGGTATGTGTATTACTTTGGAGGCCTTCTCTCCGGGGCCATAAAGATGAACAGCAGTCCTCTCTTCCTCCACCAAGTCCTCATCCCCTCACTCCCCAACTTCCAGGGTGAAGGAGGTACGTTTTTTTCTTTCTTTTCCAGCCAAATCTTAAAATAAATTATTTAGCATATTTCTAAACCGTTTCCTCCCATCTCCTCTGGTTTTACCATTCTTCATCTTTAATTACATTATTCAGAATGCTCCATTCCTCATTTCTGCTCCAGTGATTTGACTTGATAACAAAAAGGAAAATCTTCAATCATACAAACACCAGTAGAAGAGCTCAGAAGAAGAAAACGCACCAGAAGAGGAGACAAATTTGGCCGTCAAAACTAAATGCTGGTYACCTTTTTGCTTTTTAGTAAATTTGGTTTTGAAGATTTCTTCATTGACCCACCAACAAAAAAAGAAAATGAAACTATACAAATAATCACAGGATCTACAACTGATGAAMTTTTSGARTCAACCKTAGCAAAAACAAAAATCGCWAAAACTCAWCTAGATTAATTGCATTTCCTGCAAAAATGCCRATGCTTATTGCTGAAAACTGCTGAAGTGGAGCTGAAAAGGTTTTATAGCAAAACTGTTGATACCAGTTCCATTTGAAAGGTTGAAAGAAGCACAAAAAAGCAGAAACTAGCAGAAGAATAGAAGAAAGKGGTGGAATAAAGCAGAAAAAAGGCTAAAATTATAATTTAAAACAAGCTAAAGGTAGCAGACACAAGTTAGAATTAGCATCCAGATGGTGAAAGGGGTTTAAAAATGTAGAATTAGCAGAAAGAAAGCAAAAAAGTGACAGTTTCTTGTAAAAGAGATCAAACAGCCAAAATATGCAGTACAACAGCTAAAATGTAGCTTGAAATTCTTAAATTAGCAAAAGGAGCACAAGGTAGCTAAACGAAGCAGAAAGAAGCTAAAATAGCCACCGAAATGTGAATTTTGCCTAAAAAAAAGGCTAACTTTAGCTAATAACAGCTAAACATTAACTAGATTTGCAGCAAATAGCTGCATATAGCAGAAAGCAACTGTACGAAGCAGTAATGGCTTAAATTAGCAGAAAGAAGCACAAAAAATAGAAATTAGTGTAAGAAAAGCAGAAAGAACCAGAATTAGAGCTGAAGTAGCACAAAAATTTAAAACTAGCATATAAATAAGCTAAAGGTAGCAGCCTCAAGTTGAAATCAGCACCCAGATGGTGAAAGTGTTGTAAAAAATTTAAATTAGCAGGAAAAAAAAAGCATAAAAGTACACAAAAGTGATCATTTGTTGTAAAACAGCCAAAATGTGCAGTAAAACAGCTAAAACTTAGCTGAAAATTCTTTAATTAGCAAAAGAAGCACAGGATTGCTGAACTTAGCAGAAATAAGTTGTAAGTTGCTGCAAAAAAAACTGTATTTAGCTTAAAGGCTAACTTTAGCTAATAACAGCTGAGCATTAGCTAAAATTGCAGCAAATAGCTGAATATAGCAGAAATCAACTATAAGAAGCAGAAATCGCTCAAATTAGCAGAAAGACGCACAAAAAGTAGAAAAAAACAGAATAATAACAGAAAGGAGCAAAGTTATAGCCGAAAAGCAGAAAAAAAATCTAAAATTAGCAAAAAGAAGCTAAAATTAGCACAAGGCAGTTGAAAAGAGCAGAACCAGAACAAACAGTGTATGGTGCTGTAAAAAGAATTTTGAAAACAGCTTTATTTATTTCCAATGAGGAAAAAGTAAAGTAGCCAATAAAGTACAAGTAGCTGAAAAGCCAAAAGTCATAGCCAGAATGTCCTGAAGGAGCTGAACGTTTTGATAAATGAATTAATAAAATAGCACAAAAAATATGTAAAGAGATGCGTTAGAACCGTACGTAGTTTTACAGACACTGAGCTCAATTTTGATGTTGTAGTCGCAGGTGCAGGATTATGATTATTTTGTTCATTTTACCAAACTTGTGTTTTTTCAGCTACATGTTCAAAATAATTTACTGGAGTAAAAGTAAGGAAAGTGTYGATGAATCTGAGCTGGACCACCTGTCTCTAATCCAGTCCAGATCTCTGCATGTAGATAAAACCCTTTGTGGGATGTGATGTTTGTCTTGGAGAGGTTCTTGCCAGACTTCCTTCTGGATTTACAGCCRTGATTCTGAAAGAAGAGGCCAAAGATGGCTGCCTTCTCTCTCTGCCCACCCCGGCCCACACACTCCTCTGTTTATCTTTAATCTGATCAAGTCCACAAGCAGAGGATGGAATCAGCACATTCCTGGGTCCACACACTGATAAAACCCTCTCTCCTCTTTTCTAGGTTATTATCCCTTCTTGAAGATCTACCAGTCCATGCAGCTGGTCTACACCTCAGGCATATAGTGAGTCGGTCTTACTCTTCTTATAAGGACGTGGGATAAGCTGGGGTGGATTTGTCGACTCTGGGATGTTTTCTTTCACGAGTCTGAGGTTTCTGCATCACAATTAAATAGGAATAAAAACTGTTTTTCTTACCGAATCCAGCTTTTATCCTATTATTCTTCACCTCGACGCCTGGAAACATCACTGCTGTGTGTTCATTTTTATCATTTCAATCAGATGGTTGCAAACTTTTCAGCTTTTGAGTTAACACAGATCGTCATCAAGCATTACACTGTGTTTTTATATGGGATTAATCTTGTGCCAGCAGGAATTGAATTAGAATTGCTCAGATTGAATCTGAATGTGCATAATTTGAAAT